GACTGGGAAGACAAGGGGTCTGGGATCTGAGTGAGCCCCTGATGGCCAGAGACAGCTAATTTCAATGGGGGGTAAAATGGGGTAGATGCTGAGTCCAGGGCTGAAGCAAGTAAGTGAAGATGATCAGAAGCCTCTGTCCTGGGAATGGGAGTGGGTGATGCATCTCAGGTTCTATCCCTGGGAGTTTTGGACAATCTCAGCAGGTCACAGGGAAACCTCTGCCACCAGATCAGAGCCTCCATTAAAGGAAGGCACAGTGAGGGTGGCAGTGGGATCAGGAGATACTCTGAGGGAGAAAGAAGATTGGGGAGGGGTCTGTGGTTCAATTATTCCTTTTATCAGGAAAGTCTTCTAAAACCAAGTCACAGAAGCCCTAGGTTTGCTCAACATTTGCTCAACATTTATCCTGAGCACCTGCTAACAGCCAGGTCCCTGCTGGGCACCAGGGACCCTGAGATGGATTCACCAGACCCTTTCCCTGGTGGGGCGGCGGGGGGTGGGGGAGTCAATCAAGTCAATCAATCACAACTGGTAAACAGGGGCCAAGCCACAGTGTCCACAGGGAGCTATCATGGGAGTGGAACATGAAACACTTTATATCTCAGATCCAGGTTAGTTCTCTTGGTTAAACACTTTGTTTTCAAGATTATCATTTAATACCCAATGTCCCCAAGAAGGGTAAGAATGTAGTGAGCACAGGGCTAGGAAAGCAGCCTTTGAAGTCAATGTCATCACTAGTACAAGGACAGCAGGCTCCTGTTGCCAGGTTAGAAGCACACAGAAGGGCTCATTCTAGAAGCCTTCCAGGGAAGGCCAGAAATATCACTTCAGCTCTACTGCAAACTCCTCTAAAGATGGATGCATCCCTTGGCCCCACACTGCTCCTGCGTTCCCATCTCAGGAAAAGTATCACACTACTCTGCTGCCTGTTAAAACTAGGAATTATGCAAGACTCCTTCCTCTCCCTCAGCCACAGTCACCAAGTCCCTTAGGTCTGGCTCCTTATTACCTCTAGACTCCTCCTCTTCCCTTTCAACTCCACAGCAGCAAGCTCTAATGGTCTCACAGCCTCTACTTTGGCACCTTCCAAATCTATTTTTCTAACAGGAACCAGAGGGATCTTTCTGAAACGCAAACCTGATTTGTCAATTCCATGCTTAAAATCCTCAGTGGCTCCCTATTCCTGTGAAAATAAAGTCCAGATTGCTCCCTGTATTGTAACTGCCTCTTTTGTCTGCCCCTGGTATCAGCTACACTGAATGACTTCCAGTCTCCTGAGTTAGCTACCCTTTCAAGGTAGGTGCACTTGCTGTTTCCTCTGCCCGGAAAGTTCTCCTTGACCTGAGCATCCCTCATGTTTATCAGCTCAGGTGTTGACTCCTGAGTTGGGCTCCCACAACCCCTGTGCTTCACTCTATAAATGCACCTAGAATAACTGACTGTAAATGTCTGTCTCCACCAGGCTGTGAACTCCTCGGCACCCAACACAGGGCCTGAAGGAATGACAGTCGTTGTTGGAGGGTCTTGCTGATTCTCTGCTGGTGGACTCTGTGGGTAGAAGGCCACCTGGACAGGAGAAGTAAGGCTGTGCATTTAGAAACAAGTCCAGAAGTTGTCCTGGCAGTTCAGATAGTTCAGGGTTGAGTGATTATGATTATGTACGTGACAGTGAAGGTCAGGAGCAGAAATGCACTTTAAGCTATTAGGGTAGATGCCTCCAAGCACTGCAGTGTTTGCAACTGGCCACAAAGATGTCTGAAGCCAAATGTGAATTTGAATCAGATCCAGGTAATGGCTGTTGAGAGTCTGCTACACACCAGTACTGTGCTAGGTATTTTCACATCTTTTTTCTTTTTTTTTTGAGATGGAATCTCACTCTCTCACCCAGGCTGGAGTGAAGTGGTGCAATTTTGGGTCACTGCAACCGGGTTCAGGCAATTCTCCTGCCTCAGCCTCCCAAGTAGCTGGGATTACAGGCATGCGCCACCACACCTGGCTAATTTTTTTGTATTTTTAGTAGAGACAGGGTTTCACCATGTTGGCCAGGCTGGTCTCAAACTCCTGACTTCAGCTGATCCACCTGCCTCTGCCTCCAAAAGTGCTGGGATTACAGGCATGAGCCACCGTGCCTGGTCAACCTCACATCATTTTTAACTAGAGAGAGTGTATAATTTATCATCCAAACAAGAATATTTTTGAGAGTGAAAGAGGGCATTGTTAAAAGATATACTCTAGAACAACAGATATAAACCAGAACTGCCCCAGGAAAGCCAAGATTTAGGACCATTCTACCTAGAAGTCATACTTTGTGCTTTTGTTCTTGGTGACCCCTGACACATCTTATAAATACTTAAAAAGTATTTATCAGTATTTACTTGTTTAAAGTCTATTTTCCCACTATATTTCAAGGGTTGAGGTTTTTTTTTTTTCACTACTAGAAACCTCACTGCACATAGAAAGCTGTTATATAAATAAGTATTTGTGTAAAGAAGAAAGGAAAAAATGGAGTCAAAGATTGAGTGAGGAGAGAGAGAGTGGGGAAGAGAGGAAGGAACTGAGGGAGCTAAGATCCTATTCCAGGCCAGCTTGACTCCTACATTAGTGCTCCACGCCCTCGCTTGAGGCATGAAAGAGTAACCTTTAGGTAAGAAAATGGCTTATACAACCAGCTCAGCACCCAAGGTGTACTTATTAAGATCTAACCAGCTGATGATGAATGTCTTCATGGACCAAATCTCTGTAAGTCACACCTGCTGGATCTGTGTTTTGCAGCATGAATGAGCATCCAGTTGTTTGTGAGTAGATCAATAATTAATGACACAATGGCATCTGAAGCCTTTTCCTCTTTAGCAACCCTAACCTACTTCCCTTGTGTTCCTGTGTTCCTCCCCCATGCTGCCCCCAAACTTCTATTTGTGTCTTTGGGAATTTATCTAAAATACCACTTTGTTCAATGGCTTCCACTCTGTCACTCCTTCTGGTCCAGTGTCATTTTTTTGGTTTGTTTAGTTTGTTTTTTACTGTGCCTCGTCATCCTACCTGGGAATAACTGTTTTGTATCTATAAACCATATTGCATTTGGCATAATAGGATTTTCTGTGTTCAAGCCAATTCAACTCAACATGCAGTTATTGAATATCTATTATCAGCCAAATCAGAAAAAAAAAGTGTAGGAGCTTGTTCTCTTTTAGAAGGAAGTAGTGGAAGAAGGCATTGCCATTCTATCAGGAAAATTGCAGTCAACACAGAAGCCTGGGAGGGCAGAACTCAGCAGACTACAGATACTTCCTGAGAAAATCAAAGGCAGCTTCTGTCTTCAAGGAAAGATGATCAGGATGACATTGAGAGGTCAGGGGCAAGTTCATGTCTGTAAGAAATAGGAGAAGACAGCGGGGTTCCAAAGCTTAGAGAAAGGCAGCAAACCACAATCATTCTATCTCTGCATAGGGATTTGGTGAGCACAGTTCACACCTTCCTTTATAGACAAAGAGAGATGAGCTGGAGAAAGAAGCAAATATCCTAAAGCTATGTTTATGCAAGCCCTGACACACAAGGTATATTGTGAAAGGACCTAGGAATGCAAAATGCACGTAGGACGATCCAGATAACAGTTGAGTTTCATAGCCAAGAAAACTACATTGCACCTCAGGACTGACTTTTTCATTAACCCCTGCTCTAATATATGCATTTGTTTTTAAGCACACTTTTCTATGTGATCAATACCCATGTTGCTCTTTAATTCAGGACATTTTCACTGGCATCTTCAATGAGGGTAAATAGAATGGGTTACGTTGGTACATCCCTGAAGTACCCCAACTGTGTGACCTCTGCTGTCTTAGCAGTCACCACCTCTCACCTGACAGCAGTTATGGATCATAAAATCAGTCATTGAAGCTGGAAGGGACTCAAATGGAATTTCCCTAGAATGTCTTCCAAACAATTGAGTCTCCTCTGTGCACCCTTTTGGGCTAAAAGTTGAACACTTTTAGTAAGGCAGAGCTCACAGCTCACGCACACACACTCCATTCTCAGGCAGCTGTAGTTGTTATAAAGGTCTGTTCCGCTACCTCTTCCCATGTCCCCCACCTGAAAAAAAGGTCTGTCCTGCCTGTTCTGCAATAGTTCTTCAGAGACAGAATGCCGTGGCTTGCCTCATTTCTCTAAGCTATGAAGCCTCACTGTCTTCTCCTATTTCTTACAAACAAGAATTTGCCCCTGGGAGCAAACTTAGTGTGGACACCCATTGTTCTGTCTGCCTACGTCCCCTTCTTTCTTCTGAAATGGTAGGCCCTCTTTTTGGAAACAGGTACCAATCCACCCTCCAACTCCAACACGTGGTTTCAGAAAGGCTGCCTTGTCCTTGCATATTCTTGTGTCCTGAGCCAGAATTGACTTGGCCAGAAGTGGGCATGTCCTCCAAACTAGGTCAATCATAATCCTTTTGGAACTAGACCTGGAAAATGACAGTAAGTTACTGTAGTGTTGAGAACTCGCCAGTCATGTTCCCTACATGTAGAAGAAGCCAGTTTACAGTCTCCAATCACATGACATGCCCTTGGTAGTCCTCTAATAAATTCTCTATTTTGCTTATATTAATTAGGTATACAAGTTATACCTTTTATACTAATTATATACCTTTTATATATTACTATAAAAAATTCTATAAGGATATATTATATCCTTATACTAATTATAAATACAAGTTGTATTTCTTTAGCTTGTAACCAAAGATGCTTGACAAATATGGATACACTCTAATATATTTCTTTATCCCATGAGACCTCCACAACTGAACCCACTATTTGTGAGCGGTCGCAGGAAAAGACATTGGGAGAAGGTCCTTGGTTCTGTTGGATTCAGACAAGAGGAGGCCTAGTGCCTCCCTGGGTTTAGCTATGTATTCCAAATTTGTGGCTTCTAGTGGACTTTCCCAATATAATGCTTCCCTTTCCCAGTTCAAGCCATAGATCAGCAGCTGTGGAGGGCATTTAGGTACTTACTGGGTCATTGTACATCTGGATGATGAGTTGTTTCACCCCATGCAGGGTAGGGTGGGCCCATGGAGAGGGATCCAGCCAGTGACGATTCAGATCAAACCCCATCAGAGAACACCTAGGCAGTACCCAAAGTAAGAGTCAATATAGACAGGACAAGCTGAGCTTCTCACCTGTCAAAATATGCTTAGGAGTAGGAGCAAGGATTATGTCACTTACCTAGCATTTATCATTTTCCAGAGACAGTTCTAAGTACTTTATATGAGTTAATTCATTCAGGGCCATCAACAACTCTATGAGGTCACTACTATTGCAATTCCTACTTTACAGAATAAGAAACTGAGTCATAGAGAGATTCGAAAATATTTCTGTGGTGTATCCTCATGTCAGCACCCATAAACACATGCACGTATTCTCCACACTGCAGCTGAGAAAAATGCTCAGGCCAAAACCACTGGTGTTCTCATTATGTCTTTGCTCATACCTATAGCTAATCCATTGTCTCCCTTCAAAATACACCATAGCCCAACACCTTTTTTACCACTTCCTCTGGTATCACCTTGAGCGTGCATGGTCTTTCTTTAACCTGGTCTTCTTGTTTTCTCCTTGCCTCCTCCCACCTCACCTCCCATGACAGTGTACAGCAGAAGACTGAAGAGTTCTAGAAATTTTAGACTTGGACTTGGATTCAAGTGCTCCAGTTACATAGGTTTATGATCTTTCCCTTCTTTTGCTGAGCCCAGAGAACCAGCTGCATGTGTGAATTTGAGGACACAATATGAACACCTCCAGGGCAAAAGCCTTCTCTTTTCAAATGCCTCTTTCCTCAATGCCCCTGGGGCGACTGGGAGAACCCCATTTCTTATCACTGTGCTACTTTTATCTCAGTGAGAACCAGATGAGAATAATGTGGAAACTTCTGGGAACATCCTTCTGTTCCACATTCAGATTTTCGCTAGAGTCCTGCCTAGCCTCTCTGGCAAGTCCATCCTTAATGAGTGTGGGATAATGCCCCATGGTATGCAGAGTAGAGAGATATCACTGGGTTCAGGTCCCCTGCTGTGCTGATGGTGTACTACGTGACCTTGGGCGAGTCTCTTGCTCTCTCAAAGCCTAAATTTCCCCAGCTACAAGTAGAGAAGGAGCTTCTACAAATGGACCACACGCCTCTTTCAGCATGAACTGCACTCTCCCTACCCCACATCCTCGGTGGATTGCAGTGCACAAAGAAATGTCCCCTCTGTTCCAGGATTTTCATAAGAGCAGTGAAGCCTGGATTCTAACCATTCTCTGTGCTCTAAACAGAGGGGATCACTGATGCTCACCTTCTAGGCCAGGTAGCTACCTCCTGACCTTGAACTTGCAAAGGGTTCCCATTTCCATTTGCCATTACAACATGAGCATTTTTCTTTGTTAATAAAGTCTTTGTAACTAACGTTGTAGTAGCATTATAATATAACATTATCCTATTATATAAACCCCATAATTCATTTAGCCGTTTCCCCACTGTGGCACATTTATTTTGTTTTCAATGCTGCACCGTTTTCAAAATGCACTGATGAAAACTCCAATCCCTAAAGTTTTCTCCACATTTCAGAATTTTTTTCTAACAGTTTCCAGAAGTAGAATTGCTTGGTAAGAGGATTGACTGACTGTAAAATCACTATCAAAAATGAAAAATGGTCCTCAATATAGAAAGTAAAAAAGAAAAAAGTAATGTCACCTTCCCATAACTGCAGTATAACTACTGTTAGCCTTCCGATGCAGTTCCTGCCATCCTTCCTTTCTGAGCTTATAGTGGTATGTGCAGCAGTAGCTAACATCTAAGAAGTGCTTACTATGTACCTTTACACGAATTATCTCACTTCATTTTTGCTTTTATCCCACACAAGCCTTGTATTACTGTTTTATAGAGGAGAAGAGAAAGGCTTAGAAAATGTAAGTAACTTTCTTTAAGGTCACCGAGCTACTATGTAATGGAGTTAGAATTTGAGCTCATGTCAACCTGATTCTCAGAGTCCAAAGTCTTACCAATTGCTCTTCTTACTCTGCTCTCCTCTGACTACACTAAGTTGTCTTTCAGAAAGGAAACATTTAATGCTGCGACTAGTACCTTGATCTACAGACATATCCATGCAGTTCTTAAATATTCTTATCTGAAGTATTGCTACTCATAAAAGTGATTAAGGATAGACAGAGAGAGCCTCACAGCCACACTCATCTGAAACCTGCTCAGGGTAATCTGGCAGCATGTGGTGGAGCAGGCTTCAAACCCAGGACTGTCCAGCTTTAATGTCTATGCTCTTCTAAGGAGCAAACACTTTAAGCAAGCTCTCTGCTTTTGAGAATGTAAAAGTAAATTAAAGAGGAGAGACTGGTTTGGGGAACAAGGATGAGGCAAGAGTTAAATATAGCAATTCATCACAGTTTTATTAAGAATCTTCTACACACCAATGGTAGTGTTGCTGAGATTGAGTGATTGATAAGAGATGTTCTCTGGCCTCAAGAAATGAATAATCTAGCAGGAAGGAGAAGATATGCTTACAGGTTTATATCCATTTATAATGCAGGATAATATTGTGAGTATTAAATGAAATAATGCACAGGTTTTGGTACATAATGGTAACTCAGAAATGCTGTATTGTTGTTTTTATTGTACTTTATTATTATTTTATGCTATGTCCTATGTGAATGACATGGACTAATAGTTTCACAGTCCATCGGGGCTGGAGTGGGCAGCAGTGGTTAGGAATGACCTCTTATCTCTTCCTTCAGTCTGGGAATTAGGGAGATCTGAGTTCAAATCCATGCTCTGTTCCCTCCCAAGTATCATAGGCATTGTTCATGTCCTTTGGGGAATGCCCAGCATCTAACCCTGTTACTAGATGGGGGTTGGGTGGGGTGAGTTTGCTCCTCCATCATTACAAGATGAGGGCATGACTGTGTCTTGTCTCCCTCCACGGAAGCCAGATGAGCCAGATTCTACCTCTTTGTTCCCTGGCAGCAAGGGCAGCAATAGGAAACCCAGGCTCAGGCACCAGCCACTCCTGCCCAATACATAAACCTGGGGCTGGGTGACATGAGGCAGCAGGGAGTGCTATGCAGCAGTGTTACTGTGGAAACAGAGGCAGAGTGTTCCGGCCCTTCAGAGTTGCTCAGTTAATTGCTCTGGTTTTCCATTCTATCTACCTGGGTTTGTGTGATTCTGTAAGCTCCTTCATATAAATTCCTTTTTTGCTTCAGTGGCTAGAGTTAGTCCTTTTTAACTTTAGCTGAATGTATCCCTAATCAGGTGGCCCTATGAAATAATTTATGGAAAATTCTGGCAGGCCCCTATATTGTCCACTTCCCAATGACTAGTCACTAAACAGAGGGAATCACTGGTCTGGGTGCTATACTCACAGAGCTCTTCCAGCCCTCACTGAGCATCTAAATATTTAGAAAGGTACATTACCCTTGACAACAGGCTTAATCATAAACAACTGTATCCTTAAGATATGCTTAGTAATGTATCTCTTTGTCCCCTCTCCTCTGCCCCCAAATAGGAATGTCCTTAGCACTGTCTTGGGCAGGTCACCAGGTTGCTCTAGGACACCTCTATGACCTAAAACTCACTACCTTTCCAGTTAGCTTATCTCATTCTTGAATCTTCCATTAGAAAATTCTTCCTCTTTAGCTGAATGTGTCTCCCAAGACACATTCTCCCCACTGGGAGACACATCTTCCTCAGCCTTGCCTCATGGAATTGCACAGAACAAGGTTATCCTGTGGAGGCCAGAGACTTTGGGACTTATAGTTATGTTTAAGTTCTAGCTGTGTACCTCACCAGCTGTGTGATCTGTTTTAAATTTCTTTTTTTTTTTTGAGACAGAGTTTCTCTCTTGTTTACCCAGGCTGGAGTGCAATGGCGCGATCTCGGCTCACCGCAACCTCCGCCTCCTGAGTTCAGGCAATTCTCCTGCCTCAGCCTCCTGAGCAGCTGGGATTACAGGCACGTGCCACCATGCCCAGCTAATTTTTTGTATTTTTAGTAGAGACGGGGTTTCACCATCTTGACCAAGATGGTCTCGATCTTTTGACCTCATGATCCACCCGCCTCGGCCTCCCAAAGTGCTGGGATTACAGGGGTGAGCCACCGCGCCCGGCCCTAAATTTCTTTTTTTAAAATGCACCTCTATGCTTCTGTTTTATCATATGTATAAAGAGGATAACAACCCCGACTTTCTGGATTGCATGCATGAACTCATGTCTATAAATGGACCAGCAGAATCCTCAGAAAAGCAAAAACATTGAGTAAATGATAGTCAGTGATGACAGTGGAAGTGGTGATAATTATGGCACTGTTGAAATTGTCTAAAGTGAAATATCAGCTCCTCCAGGAAGGAGAGGATTTTCACTGCCTGCACACGAGGAGTAAGTGCTTTTCCTCTGCTCCCATAGCATCTGTTGCTCCCCCAGCAAAGTGGCTACAGCACAAGATGTGGTCATTGTTGAGTCTGCATCTCCACTGGACCATGAGTTCCTCAAGAGCAAGTACACCATCTTATTCATGTTAGTATTCCTAGGCCTGACAGAGAGCCCGGGTCATGGCAGACATTGAAGAAGTCATTGTTGAACAAACATTTCATTCTTTCCTAAGCATTTTCCTGTCTCATATAATATAGTTCTCACAACCATTCAGTCACATGATAAACCTCAATTTCCTAGTCGGAGTGTTGAGGGCCAGGAAATGTAAGCCATTCTTTAGAGGCCACATAATAAGTACGCTAAAGGGCACAGACTGGAATTCAGGTGTCTCATCCCTTGGCCTCATGGTCTCCCCCACTTGGCCATGCTGCTTCCAGGAAACCTCTTTGATTCAAAAAAGAACTTCAAAACTGAAGGAAAAGTGTTAGAGGTCAGAGATCCTGAAAGGTCAACTCCTAGAGCCAGCCTGCTAATAAAAATAGAATGTAACTGGTGATTCAAAGGCATCTTCAATCCTCAGAGAATCTAGATCTTTTTAGAAGCTAAAGCGTTTGTGATATTCTTCTGTGAGTAGTACCTGCAAGGCACTTTTTGAGCTGATTTTAAATGAATGCTTCTAATGGCACTCAATCTATCACTAGGTAGGTATTT